GTGACGAAACTCAGGTACCACCTGAGGGCATATGCAGACTGGTGGAATACTGCACGAATAAGAGGCTGTCGCTTATACTCGGCTGCGATGTCTACGTGCACAACGAGGTTTGGGGTAACAGAGACACCAAGAAGCGAGGTGAGTACCTTTTAGAATTTATAATTAAAAATAATTTAGAAATTATAAATATAGAGAATACACCAACATTTGTAACTAGTGTAGGCAAAGAGGTTCTAGATATAGCGCTGGGAAATACTCTAGGTAGCGAACTAGTTAAGAATTTGTTGGTTTCTAATGAACCATTGATGTCAGACCATAGAATTATGAAATTTGACATTGAAGGGGCACCATATACCAATAGAATAACTTGGAACCCTAAGAAAACAGACTGGGAAAAATACCAGAATGACCTAGGATTTAACCTAAGTCAGTTAGATATAGGGAAAAATATCTAGCATGCAATCCAACTGAAAACCACAGTTTAAAACCTCAGCAATGCCATTATCGATGCATACAAAATTAGCTGCTCGATAAGCTCAATAAAATCAAACAAGGAGTGCCTTGGTGGAACAATAAACTAACGGTATTGAGATCCAAGACTCGAAGGCTATTCAATCGATCCAAGCGCACTGGGTGCTGGACCGAGTATAGAAGCTCTCTCACTCTCTATAATAAGGAAATTAGGAGAGCAAAAAGACAAAGCTTCAGGATGTTCTGCAACAACATAGAACACACTACGGAGGCAGCAAGTATTTGCCTCTGCAAAGTAATGACCAGAGAGGAAACACTCTCGTCAACCAATCTGTAAGAAGATGATAGTACGTACACGGTAGGTGAGGAGGGAAGGATCCAATTACTTCTCGAGACTCACTCCCTAGGATCCTCTAGCACAGACGAACAAGAAACTGAGAATATCAATCAGGAAGTTTGCGAAATACCAGATAAAGGAACCTGGGCTATTGCCAAGTAAATATGTACGACAGCTACGAACAAATGGGCGGTGAAAAAGTTTAAACCATTTAAATCACCTGACATAGATGGTATACTTCCGGCACTTATTCAACAGGAAATAAAATACCTGTTAACCCCGCTGACAAAGATAACTAGAGATAGCATTGCGATTGGGTATATACCAAACGACTAGAAAAGGGCAAAAGTAGTTTTCATACCAAAAACAGGTAAGAACGATCCATTTCATCCAAAATCTTTCAGACCCATTTGCCTCACATCTTTCATGCTAAAGACATTAAAAAAAGTTGTGAATAACTTCAATAGTACGATAGCACTTGTAACTACCCCATTACATCCATGCCAAAATGCCTACAGGGCGGGGAGATCCACTAAAACCGTATTGTTTGAGCTGACAAACATGATAAGGGATAGTATTCAGAAGAAGAAAATAGCAATATGCACATTTCTAGATATAGGTGCATTTAAAAATACTTCACATGACGCTATAAAGACATCACTAATAAACAGAGGAATAAACTGTACTGAACTAAGCAACAAAAAAGCTGAGTGGGCATAAATCAAACCTATCGGCTAAC